TATATATATATAGTATATTTATAGTGTATTACACACATACTGAATTAATGTATGCACACGTTATCCATACATTTCAAATGGTGAAATATACAATATTTCTCACTCCCTAGTTTCTCCCACATTCTATAAAATAGGCCACACACATTATCAGTTTTGGGTGTTTGCTACAGATTCAGTATCCCCGGCTTCTTAAAATGTTATAATCTCTTCTTTAGTAGTTTACATAGGAAGATGCAGCAAGCAATTTATTACATATGCAGTGGGGAATAGAAAGCTGGAACCAGGACCATGGGGAGAAATACTTACGTTATGGTGTCCCTGAGAGTTTTAGGAAGCTTGTAAGTGATGTGAATATCGTTTACACACAATGGAAAGCGCTAAACTAGTAAACATTCATGAATTCTGCAGACAAGGTGTATTAATTATTATCTAATGTATTACAACATTGTTAAACCCCTTCTTCAATTTGTAAGCTCCAATTTACCATGGATTGTTGATATTTGATTTTAATCAAATCTGTTTTTCTTTGATTTAAGATTCCGTGGAGCCCATTTCATATAGGATAGTATCTGGTGATTTGCATGAGATGTTCTCCATAAACCCCCAGTTTGGTATTATCACTACAACAAAGCAGCTGGATCATGAGACTCAGACTGTTGCTGTTCTCACTATTCAGTCCCAACTAGGAAGCTCTCCAGCCTACAGCAGCACACAGGTCAATGTAACTATAACTGATGTGAATGACAATCCACCTGTATTTCCGAGAGAGAATGAAAGAATAAGTTTGCACCAAAACACTCCACCTGGCAGTGCTTTGTATATTGCTCAGGCGCAGGATATTGACAGTGGATATAATGGACTCATCTCGTATAGCATTGCAAATGAAAACCAGGATGTGTTTGTCATTGACCCCAATTTTGGAATCTTGTACCTCAATACCACTTTAACAATTGTGTGTGAACATATATTGCTGATAACAGCTGAAGATAATGGACATCCGATATTAAGTTCTTTTTTTACATTAACCGTCACTATCACACAGCCAGAAACAATTAATACTTTGACCTTTGGTAATTTAGTGCATCAGATTGAAATCAATGAAGATTTTGCAGTGTATTCCAGCATCCTCCAGGTACAAGCATACATTGAAGGTGCACAAAGCCAGCCATCAAGCATAGTTTACTCTTTGTGGCCTGAAAATTCAGTTCCATTTGCAATTCATCGTAACACAGGTTGGATTTTCTTACGACGATCTCTGGATTATGAAAAAAACAATTTATACAATCTGATTGTAGTGGCAAGCTGCAAAGGCAATGTAGTAGAACAAACGGCTTCTGCTTCAGTAATTGTGAAGGTCTTGGATGTGAATGACAATTCCCCTGCTTTCAGTCAAAACACGTATTTTTTTTACACTGTGGAAAGCTCCAGTCCAAATGGAGTCATTGGCACAATCACAGCATCTGATAGTGATACCAGGAAAAACGGGCAGCTCTCATTTTTCCTCTTGTCCGAAGAAAATTATTTCCACATCAACTCCAAGACAGGTAGTGTATAATTGTGTTGTCTTCAGACTACTCAGCTGAAATTAACTCTTCCAGAACCAAACCAGGATTAGCACTATAAGACACAACATCTTGCTGCCCATATTAAAAGAAACCACTGCTGAGAAATATCAAGTCAGAGATCGACAAATTATTATGGAATTCAAGAGCCAGTCTGTCCAATCCAGCCTCAGGACATTTTTTTAGGAGCAAGCTCCACTGACAACAACTAGAGAGAATATCAAAGTTAGGTGCCAGCTGTAATTCTTTTAGGAGAATTGGCTACCTGGCTCTTGGGATTTGTCCAGTCCTGAACTAAGGTTGCCTTTAGGCGCCAATCACACCTGCGATCACATGAGTTTCACAAATTCCTCCTTTAGACTCATACAACCTTCTGCGGGCGGGAGGGGATGTACTTCACAATGACAATTGGCACAGCCCAAAGCTGTTTACAGCCTGATCGCATTTACTCGCACATGCCCCGATTACCTGTAGACAATTACATGTGGACCCAAACAGACTGAGTCAAGGTGCGTTCACGCACAGGTAGGCGCCGCCTGTGTGATTACATGTGTACAGGCTGTTAACAGCTGTGTGCAGTGGCAAATGTAATTGTATTGTACAGTGCCTCCCTCCTCCAGGAGACCGCAAGAGTCCCACACAGGAATATGAGAAACTCATGCAATCAGCCCCATTTGCAGGTGTGAATGGGGCCTTGTACGTTTGAAGTCACTGATGTAGAATTTACAAGCAGCCAGTGAAGTCAGAACACCTGATCTCTATACCAATTCCAGTCCAGTCATTCAGACTGCAGAGGATCAACTTGGCAGCCAGTCAGCAAGTATTTCAGGACCCTTGAGGCCCAGTTTACATGTACATGTTTTAGGTGTGTTGCATGATGCATCATGTGGTTTCCAGTAGGACATATGTCATATAAAAGTAAATAGTAACACATGCAAAGCGTGCCTAAAACACAATAATTGGTGGGCCTAAAATGTACAGCTGTCAACAAAGTCTCTATGAATCAGCCATATACTGCTCTGAAATCAGCCCTATCATGAAACTCTGATAAACAAATTATTTGATTGTCATACCTGTTTGTGGAATGCTTTTTAGCATAGACCAACCATCCTATGATGCCCCCACTATTTCTATATTCATGGTAATTATTCCTCTAGCATATAGGAGTTTTTTTAAGTTTTCCAGTCTTGTTCTTATCTTATTGTGCTATAAACTACCTTTATTATGTAAAATCTCAGTGTTTTTATGTATTGTGGATTTATTTAGTTGCTTATAATATATTTGTATTCACAATTTATTCACAAGCTGAGTGAAGAATGTACTTGAAATAAAACTCCTCAAGAAGACACATAGTATACCCCCCAACTTTCTGATATAAGAAAAAGGGACCCCTTCCAACACAATGTATGTAGGCAATGGACACACCTCTTTCACAACCCCAGTTATGCTAACCATTAAGAATTGATATAGCAAAAATGATTGGTAAAACCCAGAATGTTTACCATTACTTTTCCTTTATACTGGGTTTTCAAATAACAAACAAGATAATAAAGAGATAGGATGAAGGCTTTAATGCAAAATAGCACTTTTGGTAGCCAAATAGAACCTTTTCATAGATATCTGTACTTCATACCAAGAAGAAGGACAACTGGGGAGGAAAGGGCAGAGTAGTTTGGTTCCAAATGAGGGATAGTTGGGAGATATGACATAATAGTTTTAATAATAAAAAAAAATGTGTAATATCATTCTATATTAGACAAATATAATGAGCCCTTTTGACATGGGCTTAAAGTACTTGCATCCTTGTGACATATTCTTAAAGTATGCTTTTTTTAATTTTGGATACAGTATGGTTGGGTTATACCCCTTTTCATCTTTTTTTTTCTGCCACCTGTGTCCAATTGGGGAGATTTCTCTTCACTTGCTCTCAGATAGCCACAATGGGAAGTGAGAGGAAATCCCACCAATGAGAGGGAAATCCATTGTGGTCAGCAGGGTCACCAGAACTAGTTTTCCAATGGAATATTTCCCAGCTATTCCTGTTCTGATGATAACCCAAAATTTGGGATTTTCTTTTACTTTCAGTAATAACAGTCACCATGAAAAATAGAGAGGGTGAATCTCCCTAATGAAGACACAGGATACAATAAAAACCTGGCAGGTGTTCTAACTCTCCACTCTATCCAAAACTTTTTAAAAAATGGCTTCAGTTGCACTTTAAGGTAGTATTAAACCCTAGGAGGAAAATGCATTTCAATTTAGGAGCACATTACAATAAATTATTTCTTTTATCCTTATTTTGTCTCAAAGACTCAATTGTTCTATTTTCTAGTTCCATTCTTGTAGCAATTCCTTAAGCCTCTGGTCAGGGAGAATGCACTGCTCATAGTCAGGTGGTCTACTGCACTTCGTCCCATTATTTACCTTTGCACATCCATGCTTGTTTGTATTTTCTGCTAGTTGTTGGTGGTGCCTATGCAAGTCAGTGCGCAGTCCTATTCAGGGGGGCGCACATTTTGGTAGCTCCATGGTGCCCTGCAAGGCAACAAACCCCCCTCTAGGAAGAAAGTCATGGGATGTAGTTTTTGGTGGATGATTGTCCTGCAAAACTGAAAGCTGATTGGTTGTGATTATTTACAAAGAGTCACAGTATTTGTTACTGCTGTAAATTATTGAAACTGTAAATCATATTATTGTGTCATTGTGTCTTTGTTTGCACTCTTTAGGTGAAATTATAAATTGTGCCGCTTTAGATCGTGAACAGAAAGCACACCATCAGCTTACTGTGTTAGTGACGGACCATGGTACTCCACGTCGTAATGCCACAGCCACAGTTTACATCACAGTTGCTGACATTAATGATAACAAGCCATACTTTCCACAACTGCCATTAGGAAAGCAGCTGCATGTCAAGGTTTGTTAAAAATAGGAATGCAAACAGCGTGTGCTGTTACTCCTTTCATGAAAGCTGACTGCCATCTCGTGTTCATGACTGGTAGCTGCACTAAATAAGATGGTTGCAAATGTAACATAAGTATTTGTAGTTGTACAGTATTTGTTGTGTTTTAACATTTTGCAAGGGGTAAAAACTGGTGTAAAGGAAAAGTGCATTATAGGGAATTAAAAAAAAGTGCACAAAAAATGTAAATGCAGCCCCAGCAATTTGAATTTTTCATATACTGTATATATATGTATATATTAATATTTTTTTATAGCACCATTTTACACTATTATGCTTTATCATGTGTTCTTTGTAATGAGGCATTGTGTGTTTTAGGTTTAATAGTGTAGCGGCTTTCTTTTCCTTTCCCAAGGCTCCAGAAGGCCAGAAAGGACACATATTGGTGACTACTGTTTTTGCAAAGGATCCTGATGCCGGTGGTAATGGAACAGTACAATATTCATTGTCTTCTGGTGAGCAAAACGTCATTCTGTTTTATGCGATGTATTAATTGTTGTACTCATTTAAGGAATAGGGGCTTACAGACGTATAAGATTAACAGCAAATAGCAATAATAATATGGGTAGTCCAGACACCAATAGCAACCAAAGCAACATCTTTCTACAGTGGTTTTCTACAAAATTTTAGATTTTGCTATTTGTCATTTCAGTTTGCACATAAAGTATTAGAGTTATTAGAGACAATATTTGCCTTGGCTTCCTGTGGCATGGGATACATGTTCTCCACAGGTTTTCTTTACGTATACAAGTGCAAGTGAGCTGAAGAGCATTATCCACAGCCCTCAAGTATTACCCCACTACAAGCACGGGGACCTAAGAAGCTCATGTAATTTTTTGAGCAATGAGCTTCAAGCAATACTACGCTCAGGTGTGAATAGGCACTATTGAATATGACAATAATCCTAGTGTTGAGTGTTAAGGTGCTTCTGGTGAAACTTCAAACCGTTCAGGTGTGAATGGGGCCTTAAGCTGAGAGAGGGGAAGGGGTAGCCCTGTGAGCCAAAGTGCCCCTACTCAGTTGTACACTTCTGTCCATCTAGCAATGAAAGCTTTCACATAGAGGAGGAAAGAAGAATGATGATTTCCTTCTCCTTTACTGTTCAGTCACAGGATGGAACAAGTCATAGACCATGCTGTATTTCTCAACTGCAATGTAGTCAGCAGAGAGGTCTCAGGACCTCCACACAAAAATATATATTTCAACTAAAATACTTTACTATGGTCCTGCGTGCTTTTTCCCCAACAGGACTATACTAAAGTATTTTTAGGTATGGTGTATACATCAAGGTAAGTCGCATATGTGTGGAGCACAACAACTGGGAAAATAAGGCTTTCTGGAGTGGATGCAGTTAAAATATATATTTTGGGGTTGATGATCATGGGCATTGAAAATAACTTTTAAGATTATTTGTATGGGTTATTGTGAACATTTGTGGAAACACTGTATTAATATGCTTTTTTTTAATCACAAGATGGTAGTACATTTGCACTGTCTTTACTGGTATTTTGTTAGCTTGATAATCACAAATTGTCTATTTTGGTGTTTTTCAGTTGATAGTTGTTGTTTCAACACATTTAGAAAAAAATAATTATGACGTTTATGTATTTCTAAAGGTTGCAATAGGTGAGATATTCTCTAGGGTGCAAGGTGCTGTAAGGTTTTTATTGGTATCAGCACAGAAGGTTTATTGCTTTTATTTCTTCAATTTAATGTAAAGGGATATAGTTAATTAATTTATAACTAAATTAACTGGAGATTTGACATTTGCCTTGAGCTTTGACAGGGGCATAACTAGAAATCACAGGGCCCCATAGCAAAATTTTGTAAACACCCCCCGCAAACACGACGCGGACAATCACACTGCGGGCAGGGGGTGTTGCTGAGATGCCATTGACTTCAATGCACCACCACGCCTCCTCCCTCCTTAGAACGCAGGGGGGAGTTTAGTGTGTGATACAGTGCATTCCAGCAGCTACCACTCTGGATCGCACTGTAATTGCTGTGAGCAAGCCCTTAGGGACAGAGAGCAGGGACAGTACTGCTGGACAATAACAGGCACAGCATGTAGCATACAAGACTTCCCAGGTGTCTGCTGGCTATGATAGCCAGCGGATACCTGGGAAGTCTTGTCACAGCATCATACAGCAAAAGGGTCAGCCAGCACAATGCCTCAACTTCCCCATGACCAGCTGACCCGCAGATGTCGTCTCCCTACCTCCCCCAGAGTCTCCTTGATGTCCCCAATGTCCGTACCTCAGAGGCACAGCTTGTTCTTCCCTCCAAACCACGCCCACTCCTCTTAACCAATGCAGTCAAAGCAGCAGGAGTTTGACCCCACCCATTTGCTGTCTCCACCTACAATCCGGACATGGTAACTTGCCGAGATTGATTGTTCTGTTGCCCTGTGTGCGTGCCTATGTCCAGTTCCCTGTGTGTGCGGCTATGACAGGACCCGGCCGGGAGGCTTACAAACCTGCTCCTGACCGGGCCCCCCCCCCCACTGTTGTGGGCCCCAAAGTGCCCGCATGGGTCACTATGGCGGTAGATCCGCCACTGAGTTTCGCTTTATACTGTGTTAAATTATGTGTGGTATTGCTGTGTACATCATTGTTTTTGTAAAAATCCAATAACCTGATGTTTTTCAAACTGACTATCTGCCCATATCCCACACTATAGACTGCTCTCTCTAGACAGCCACATGAAATAAAATGTATTGCTAAAATTTATTGTCACTCTTATTCACATTTCTTTTTGTTTACAGACGGTGTTCTTGGTAATTTCTTTATTAATGCCTCTACTGGTGATATATGGACAACCCAACCTCTCTCAGTAAGCCTGCAACCATACTATTGCTTAAGAGTAACAGCAAGGGATCAAGGGGTCCCTCCTCTTGAGGAATATGCAACTGTGAATATTCAGGTGGGATTACAAGTTTGTTTACCTTTTGTTTATTTGCTTGTAAATATCGCTTTCTAAATGCTTACTATAAGTCAGAATTTCTTAGACAAGGGGTACTTTAGACATGTTGTAAAAGTGAACTCTCAATAAAAAGGTAAAATGTTGGCAAATCATAACTCAAGTGGAAATCTAGTCAAAACATTTTTAATAGAGTAGGAAAAATTAGAACCTTGTAAGCTTTCATTTGCTGTCCATGTCCCCACTGAAAAGATTTCCCATTCTTTTTTGGTGGCAATGATCACCTGAATTAAGAAGTTGATATTTTGGTGCTGTTAGATATTGACAGGTATACCAAGTCGGCTGTGTATGAAGCAGCAGAGGTTAATTCAGTGTTAGAGATTAGATTTGGGGCTGAGTTAGTGTTAGGGTCAACTGTAAAGGGATTAAGAGTAACTATAATGGTTTAGGGTAGTGTTAGAGAGCAGGTTAACGGTTGGGTTTTAGTGTAAAAGTTAAATGTTAGAGTACAGGTTAAGGGTTAGGGTGAGGGTTGTGTTAGGGTGCAGGTTCTGCTACGCAGATGGGCCCCATTTTCATATCTTACATCCCTATTGCAACAGAATACTTGAAGATATGAGTTACTGCAGTTCAAAGCAAGCAGTAAAATGTACAAACATAATATGTATATCACTTGGGGTTACTATATGGATTATCATGATAAATGGAAAGCACTGCTGGTTTAATTAAAGTGCATTGTCACCTTACCAAATCCATTTAATGAGATGCAAAACATTCATACTTCCTGCCAAACAGCTGTCCCTGCAGTCTTGCAATGAGATGCTATGTACAGCTAATGTGACAGAGCAAAGCTGACCTTGCTGTGCGATTTTAAGTGTTCTTTGGCTGACAGCTTTCATACTTCACATTTAAATTCCTACTTCTCTTATAGCACAAGGTGACTCATTCTTGCACGGGAGCAAAGATCATTTCATTGATGTGTAAGAAAGAAGACCATGGGGGTTTCTTTTGCTATTTACTATACATGCAATACAAATGTATTTAATACACAATGAATGGCAAATTGCTGCGCTAAGAGTATAATAGTGATCTAAACAGTAGACTAGCTGCAACAATCTGTGATTGAGTAATCGTGTGTAGTGATGCTAATATGTTGCGCTCAGTCTGAATGTGAACAAATAAACTAATGAAAATCACCTCAACAGGTGAACATGAGTGAAGGATAATGTCTCCGTGCAACAAACCCTAAATTGTAAAACTAAACACACGTGGAATCAAATTGTATATAAATCTTGCTGTCTGTGTCCTAACCCCAATAGGTGTGGGACCGAGCAGAACAGAAAAATAGTTTAAAAAGTACAAAAAAAACAAATAGAAAACGATTGTGCGGAGCTAACAGTGACAGCTTCGGCCAGTTTCGGCTTTCAGCATGGCTCAGCCGAGCCAAGGCATGTGCATTCGGCTCGCCTGAGCCGCTCGGCCATGTTTGGGAGCAGTACGGGCTATAGTGAATCGGCTGCTTCGTGAATAGACCCCTATGTATAGAAGGGAGGACGCTGAGGAAGAGTATAATGCTGCACGGAGGGAGAGACTGGCTGGAGGGAGCACCATGACAGTTGGTCGTCTCTGAGCTTCAGCTTTGGGTTAGTATATCTTTGTTACCTAGACACAAAAGGGCACTTAACCCTTGCAGTGCGTAGGTAGCCCCACTGCAAGGGTTAATTAAAAAATCCTGGGGTTCTTTTTTAACTATTAGAAAATCAGATGAATGTTCCAAATGTAATTTTTCACACAAAATTCTGCTGGTGTATGGCCAGCTTAACCTTAGGATTTCACAATGACAGTAATGGATAGCTCTTTGATAGGGACAGAGACAGCAAAAAAGCACAATTGTTAATAGAGTGAGGAAATGTTAGAACATCTGTAAGGTTCTTATTTCCCTCTATTATCCTGCACTGTGACACTCACATATTTTTTGTACTGTACTTGTGTAACTGGTACAGGATGAGAGAGGAAATCTCCCACGTGAGGACATTGACTCTCAATCATTAGATTAAAAAACTTAGCAGAAAAAAAAAGTTCTGGGGACAGGGTTTAATGATTCTGTTACTGTGTATTGTGACATGCTGGGAAGTTATTTATGCAGGCCTGTAGAGTAACTGATAAACAGCAACCTGGTTTATAAGATTATTTGGGTACTCAGTAAAATAGTGTATATATGGGAACAATGATAAGGTTGTCTTTTAAATCTGATTCATGTTAAAATCAAGAGATTGTGTGATTATGTGTTTAGTCAATGCTCGTGCTCCAAAATGTAGAAAATATATATTTTACGTACTAAGCAACATTGCCTTAAAACTCCATTTGGAAATTCTTTTAAAATGAAGATTTGTTTAAAGTAAATATACTGAAAACACAATTTTGAAAGGTATGCATGTGAGATATTTTCTCTCTTGTAGTAAAAGTTGCTTCATATACAATTTAAGCCCCAATATAAAAAAATCTATTAAACTGAAAATGTATATTTTTCTATTATGTCTATAGAATATTTGTTTGACAAGTAATCATTAAACACAGGGTGCACACATGACACAGAATTCTCTTTGTTTACTCTCCTTTTCAGACAGTACAATATGCAAGTGTCTTACTATTAACCAGAAGTTAGAAGTAATCTTTCATGTAAAGTACGGTTTCCGTTTTGAGAATCAGACCTCATGAATGAAATCACTTTAGAGTAAAGCAGCATTAAAAGAGAATTATGAGGCGAGTGAAAATCACTCAGCCTCATAGTTCTAGCCGACCTGTGACAATGAAACTGTCACAGGTCGTCTCAATAGATCGGGAAGTGAGCGAACACATACTGTCGCACGCTCGCTTCTCGATCCTGTCCATGCAGAGAGGCGTGACTGTCACTCATGGCTCCCTGCAGGGATTCCCCCCCTCCCCTGTCCGATCTGTTGACTGGCGGAACGGACGGGGGAGGGGGCGGGTACAGCTGGCTCTGCCTCCAGATCTGCCTCTAGATAGGCAGAGCCAGCTGTCACTCACGCAGCTGGGTGGATCCAGACAGTAATGTCGGGATCCGTCGCGGCTGAGGCGTCTCAGTATACCGCGAGCTGTAGCTCGTGGTATACTGAGCTTTGGGTGACGGGAGGACGCTAGTTTTTGTCCTCCCGTTACCCTTAGGGGAACTATGGGGAAAAGCCCTGACCCCATAGTTCTCCTTTAAGAACAGGTTTACTAAACCAACTCACAGGATTTGCAGCAAGCATCCACAAACACTTCCTCACTCTACCTCCAACAACTAGATCTTGACCAGATCCCCAAGAAAAATCTTGGTGTGGGTAACATGACACTCCCTCTTGGCTCTTATAACTTCATGTTCAGTTTAAGCAACAGGTTGTGCTGTTTCATGGGAATATGCTTAGCCCTTTACAATTTCCAACGGGGGTCTTAGTTTTTCTGCTGGATTTGTTAAATTATTAAAAACAATACAGTACTAATTAGGATTAGGAAGACATTTAAGGAGTAGGCCTGATAACTGATTTGGGGATATTTTATTGGGTGGTATCCACAAAAGCTATAAGATGTTGGTTATTCAGTACAAGCTTGTGAACCTGCAAATATCAGTTTAAGGTGAACAGACCATTTGACAGGACTCATCTCTGTGATAAATAAAGTAATAACATTATTAGACCAAAAAATGTGTTTTATATATCATATCTTTTAGGTAATTTCAACTACTGAAGAGAAATCGAAAGGGAAGGTCGAAGTAAAAATCTTAAACATTCCAGAGGATGCAAAACCTTCTCAAGTAATAGGCTCAATATTGCCACACAATAAGTTTTTATCCAATAAAAAATTACAGTTCCACATTTCCGAGGAAGAGCACAACAGCCATTTTGTCGTTGACCGTTCCTCAGGAGATTTATACCTCTCCAGACCACTAGATTATGAAACAAGCCCAAACTACCTTTTACTTATTAGGATAGAAGACCATAACAAGATTCCTCCTCAAAACCATTCTGTCATCATAAAGATTGATATAGAAGATCAAAATGATCACCATCCTGTGTTTCCTCACCTCATGGTAGTCATTGGCATTAAAGAGAATGTACCTATAGGAACTGTCTTATATACATTTGAAGCAAAAGATGGAGATGGCAATTTACCAAACAGCAAACTTAAATATTCATTAAGTACAGATGGAACTAAAGAATACCCTTTCTTTATTCACGAATGGGATGGAACCTTGACCACAGACAAAGAACTGGATAGAGAGGCAGCTGATTCCTATGTATTTACAGTAATTGCAACAGATCAGGCCACTAACATAACACAGCGTCAACACTGTTCACTGACAGCTCAGATTATCATTCAAGACGTCAATGACAACAGTCCAAGTTTCCTATCAACTCCAGCTGCCTTTGTTAAGGAGGATGCAGAAATTGGCTCTCTTATACATCGTGTAGTAGCTGAAGATCCAGATGAGGGAAAGAATGGAAAAATAACCTTATACATCATGGATGGGAATTCAAAACAAGCTTTCTTGCTGGATGAAACAACAGGTATTGTACTTAATTTTTCAAGGAAGACAATTTTCCTTGGAATCAAATATGGCAGCAGATACATTTGCAACTTGGTGGTTGAAAAGGGAAAATGTGTTTCTGGAAAGAGTATTTCAGATGATCCATTTTCCCACTTCTAACTGTTCGTGCAGATGCCTGGACCTATTTTTTGGCTAGGAAAATGCTCAACACATCTGGGTTTAGTTTATGTAAAATATTATAATGAAATAATGATAATAAATGGTCTGTGCATGGCAAAGCATTATCACAGATAGCTGACAATTTATTTGGCTGCTTGTGTAACACTGACATTATTGTTATGTAGTATGCGAATAACATTGTCGAATTTTAAATATAGCTACAGTGGAATGATTGACTACTGCAGACAGCACTTTAAGTTGACCGTTTTTAATAATGAAAGTATGTTGCAGAGGGATGCAACACTGATTTACCTTAAACATCCCCACTTAGGGATTTTCCAGTTTATTTTCACACATAGGGATCCTAATTACTTGATCTTTTCAATGGTTTCTGGATTAATACTTTGTCGTTTTTTGGGGGGTTTTTTGCCATATATTATTCTGAACTTGCAAGTGCATTTATTACCGGAGAAATATAACTCCGACAGTAAGACTATCAACATTAAACTTATACACTAAAAACAATTAGGAATTCAAATGTATGTACTCCATAAGAATTAACTTCTTTTTTGCTCCCTTTTGATCTGTTAAATATACAATTGAAGGTGGTTAATAAAGTGCAAAATACCTGTTGATCCTGCCAGAAATCCAGTAAGCTTAAAGCTTCCCGTGGACTGTGCCTGTACTGCACTTAATTCCCAACCAGTATTATCAGCCCTGTCCAATTCATCTCTGTGGACTACAGATCACTTCCCACCATGGAGATTTGTTGTCCAAATAATGTTGGAGATGTTTTGTAGTTCTAGACTCTGCCTGTCAAAGGGTGACCACACTGATCCTTTATACTGTAGATATAGAACCGCAAATGAGCATGGTCACCCTCGGTAGGAAGGGAGGTAGAGGTTTTATAAATAAAACGCCCGTTTTGCCACTGTACACCTTGGAGGCATAAAGTAGTGGCTCATGAACATTTGTTTGCCATCCCCTAATTTTTTGCTTTTTTGGGAACTTGACTGAAATTTCAAAACCAGAAAATGTGGATATTTGAAAAATCTGAAGAGCAAAACCAGTAAATCAGGGATAAAAAGGGGTGCAGGCTTACGTTGCAAGAAATTATGTACACCAATGTCAGAATTACTCAGATGTCAGACTCAAAAGCAGTTAAAGCGCAGAATGCGTTCAGGGAA